CCCCCCCGCCCGTTTTGTGAGAGGAGTTTTTTTGCTTTTAACGTGTTAAAACGGGAAACCGCGTCTTTTCTAGCAGCTCGAGGCAACCCAAAGTCACGAACTGAAGTTCGGCTGGCTGTTCGGTGCAGAAGCAGCAGCTCCTCAGCCCTGACAGCCCCGGGTGTTCTGCTCTTTCCCAAACAGTCTGTTAGGTACAAAGTAAACGCCACACGAGGCGGGGGCCAGCAGGCTGAGCCCCCCGGGACCCTTCCCTCTCCCGGCTGAGCCCTGGAGCCCCCACGCTGCACTGCAGAGGAGGCACACGGCTGTGGTGGAGTTTACCTACTCCAAACTTAGTTGTGAGTTTGGTTTAGGTGAAGGGGTTTTGTCATTAGAGCGCAACACGAGCCAGAATGTTGGCTTCTCATTTAAACAGTTGGAACAGAAGATGAGCGATCTGGGTGACCTCATATGTAACGTTTACTCGTAGGGATTTTCTTAATATTCCTACTCCTGCAAGTGGAGGAATTAATTTAACAAAGTACATCTGTAACAAGTTGTTGGTTGCTGCATTCATTTTCGGGGCAGGGAGGGAGGTATTGAAATTTTTGTATTGCAGAGATCCATCAAGCTTCTGTTGCTTTGGGTCTGTCTTTGGACTGCATAAAAGAACGCACATTTCTCTCTGTAAATAGGTGCAGTGTGATCTAGCTATCTGCAGCAAAAACACTGGGTGGGGAAGGCTCTCTCATCCTAAGAGAACTAATGTTGGATTTGATACTGTGTCCGTCATGTAAGTCTAAATCAGGTTTGCATCGAGCTAGTTCCAGCAGATCGTTGCTCTGCTGCACCGCAGTGCACTTGCTTGTGTTGATGGAATTTCTTTCTGTCCTGACCCCAGGTAGCATGTGGCCTGACTAAAAGGAGGGATGTAACACAAGCAACATGACCAGAATGCCACACACCCATCTTATTAGTTATCTGATTTTAAGCACTAAACTGGAAAAAAACATTACACACTTATTTGCTTTGTCTGCTGTGATGCTTTTTGTGGCTTACTGATGTTCCTTAAAGTTCCTTGGCTCCAGCATCTTTTGGGGATGGGCGGGAGCATCTCCAAGAACTCTGTCAACTAGTGATGCCTCCATCAAAAGAAAGCAATTCTTGTAAGTGATGTGGAAATCATGAGCTAACATACGTGCCCTTGTAACTACCTAAACTGAGTTCCCAGCCACCTTATTTTCCCTTTCTTCCACTCCTCCCAGCTTGCTTCCTGTAGCAAGTATTTCTACTTGAATGCTAAAAAGCAGCTGTTATCAGTTCATGACGTATTTTTAAATCTCCTTACATGAAGAAAAAGTTAGTGGATGTTATCAATAAAATGCGAATAAACCCTGGACACTATAGTATGTAATCCTAACCTTCTTATGGAATGGGAAATATTGTGCTTCCTAAGGAGTTTCTGGTTAGTATGTGTCAGCTCTGAAATTCTGTTGCTTTTTGATCTCACAGATGCTGCTGCTTTTGAAATCAGTTGGCTTCAGAAGCAGCCTGCTCTAGTTACCGAAGTGAGATACGTCATCGAGTAAAACTTGTGTTTGTTTTCTGAACCTGTCTGGAACATTGCTGATAAAAATTTCTGTCCTCGCAAGTTAGACACTCTATTAAAAAAGAAAAGAAAACTGGTTATTTTTTAAAAGCTGTTGTTTTCCTTGGATTTTTGTTTCAGATGCCTTCTGTTCCTCATCTGCCACTGGCCTTCTTGGATACTTCTAGGGTATAGAGAAGGGATAATTCTGTAATTCCAGGGTCATCTTCTGGTCCAGCTTTTCATGTACAGTCCTCTTCTAAAACTCCCAAGTTAGTAGATTCAAATTATGTATTAGTTTCTTGCGTGAGAGTTTTTATTCTTATGACCTTGTCAGTGAGCTGCTGACCCTAACAGAGTTCTACTGCAGTATCCAACAGTACTAAATATAAATTCCAAGAATCTTCTGAGCGTTTTTAGCAGGATCTTGCTTTTTCCACTGGCTATTTTGCTAAGCATTTTACCCCTGTGCATGGTAAGAGTGATCATGTAAAGTGTATTTGTTCTATTTACTCAAAAGAGAGAGAATGTATGTGAAAGTGGTTATCAAAATTTATGCTCATCTTGTTCAATGCTTTGTCACTCTAGAAGATTCTTACTTAGAAAAATTAACTATCAGTCATATTTGCTGTTTTCAGAAAGCTTTTGAATTTTAGCACAGAGAAATTACTAGGACCTAGGAAATGCCTTTTCTTGGCTTCTGAAATTCCATTTTAATGAGTTATAAACCCATTGTTCGCTGTTTCTTGCAGTCAGTGTGACTCTCATTGGTGTATCCAATAGCTCAACATAAACATTTTTAGTGAAGACTGAGTCATATGCCTACCAAAGCAACGACAATAACTCTGTTCAAAAACAGAGCAGTAAACAAACTCTAACTTGGTTATAAGTTTTTATTTATCTGATGTAATTTTTCCGTATCATTAAGTCCATGTGGATGGATGGTAATGAAATGGCCATTAAGCATATTTTTGCCCTTAGTATGCAGCTTGTGATTCCTGCTTAAGCCTGCAAGCCTCCTAGTTTTGGATACAAGTTAACTTTTGTTATTCCATTGTACTTTCTGTAGGAGTGCCCCAGGTGCAATCCGGGTGCTAATGAAAAGCACATTGTCATCAATTGGGAAGGCAGGCAAGAGCCAGGTGCTCTCAGTTGTGATAAGGTGACATTTGATTATTGTCTGATATTACTCCGTCTTCCGCATATTTAAAACAGCAGATTCCACATACTTAAAATAGCAAATGACCTCAGACTTCCACTAGTTATCAACAACTTAGTTTTCCAAAACATCATCCATGGGTAAGGACGCTATTCAGTAGTTCTAATGGCTTCCTAGGAAAAGGTCCTAGACCAGGAAACGTTCAGCGTTCAAGGAGGTTTCAGCTCAGGGCTCTTGATGAATGTCGTCTTTATTCTCTAATGCTGGATGAGACCTCATGAAGAACAGTATGTAGGATCTGAGTTCGTCTGTTCAAGACAGGTGAAACGTAACCTATAGGGAAAGGAGCCATGCTGCAAGGAGGCTGGAGAGCCTGTTGTACCTGGGTTGACTAAATGGTTGAGTTTGTGTAGTCTAGTAAGACTGACTGCAGTCTCTAAAGTAGTGGGATAAATGAGAATGAAGCGCTATTTAAGTAAAAAAAAAAAAAGGTAAAGCACCTGTAAATATGTCTGTTCTAGATAGGAGAAAGTGTTTTCCAAAATCTGCCTGTTTCAGTTCTGGGGACAGGAAACCTTAATGCTTTGTAAACTAACAGAAATAATTTTATAAAGTGATACCTGTTGGCAGGTGGGGATTCAGGGTGTTCATTTCAGCCTTCAGATTGAGGGATTTATGAATACATCGTACTACAGCTCCCTTTGAGAGGTTGCATTCTCCCCACTTTACAAATGGGGGACAATGAGATGACAGGACTTGTCTGATGCCATGCATTAAAAAAAAAAAAGAGACAGAAGAACTAGAAAATGAGGTCATCCTGCAAGAAAACTGCAGCCAAAGTGTATGGGTGGTTTGTCTGAATTTCTAAATGTTAAACTTTGGGCAGCTTTCACTGAGGAGCTGGAGAACTTAGCCCAGAAATAAGTTGCCACCAACTGATGTTTTAAATTATTTAAAGGACAGGTACTGGATTTTATTTTGCATAGCAATTTTTAAATATATTGAATTTTATAAGACTTCATAGGCCAAATCATGCTGGATCATTAGCCTGTTGTAGAAGGTCTAATGAAGTTACTCATCTCTTAATATGGACTTTAGGTCGTAACTTTTTTTAAATTAAATATTCTAATAACACTTCAGTACTTCTACAAAGTTGCTTGCAAAGCTATAGAACTATACAACATTCTGCTTTAACTCTTCTAAAAAAAAATAAATTATTTTTTTATTTGGTTCTTGAATTCCCCGCCCGCCATCTAATAGGAGTTTAATGTTTCTGACCTGTGTGGTCAATCATCACGAGGATAGTCTGTAAAACTTTAGAGACACTTTAGTAAAACTTTGGTGAAAGCCATCAGTGATGCTGACTAAATGTAATATAACGTAGTGTAGTCGAACCCTTTTATATTCTTCTAGCCTTTGGCAGGTGCCAGTGCAAGAGGTGTGTTTTGGATATGTTATAACTGAACGGAATGGTTTGGCAACTGATAAAACTTGGAGGTGTTAAGTATGTTTCATGATGTTATCAGCCTTCAAATTTAACGTAATAAAGCGTACTGTGGTCTTGTATTCTTAATAGATCTAAATCAGAAAGCGCTAATTTATGTTACTCTCTGTGGAAACTGGTGATGCAAAGGGAATTTTAATGAGTATATGTGACCTGTGAAATAAAAGACACTACCTATGGCTTAGGAAGTTTTTGAGCGATGAATTGTTGAATGTCAGAAGAGTATTCTGGGGATCTGCTAGTATGTGTTTGCTTTTTCTTTCTTTTCCTCTCTTTTCTTTTGCTGTTTCCTAGGCATCTGCTACTGGCCACTGTAAGAGTATTCTGGGCTAGGTGGACCTTTGGCATGATTTAGTGGAATTAAGTCTGTTACATGGGCAGAGTAAATAATTCTGCGGTATTACCTGAACTTCCCAGTAGTTCATTTATTATCTTGTCTGATTGCTACAACTTTGTGATCATTTCAGGGAGTTTTCATTGCTGATAAACAGAAAAGTCCGTAGTCCTCAAAACAAGCTTGTGTATGTGCTTCATATCATTCATCTTTTCTGGATTTTTTAAAGGCTGAAAAGAGACTCATTGCTCTTCAAGCTTGCTTAAATATATAGGAATAACAATAGAACATATATAACAATTTAGATATAACAAACCTTGGAAGAGTTCAGCTTAAAAAGAGAAGCTATGAAATGTGGAGGCTGACTTGCCATTCACAGGGAGTGAAATGTGCTTACATTGGTGCTTGCGTTCATGTGCTCATATTAATGGTTTTCCTGCTTGCTTTTGTAGCCCTAATTTAACATCAGGGCCTTGCGGTCCACTTGAATGTGCAGTAGCCCGTGCCGTGCTGGTGTTCGGTTCGCTCACATTCACTTCTAGAAACTTTTCAGTGAAAATACATTGAATGAAACAAACACAAATAGGTGGCAATTGCTTCTAGTGCTTAGAATAGCTTAAGAGACGAAGGTTGAGAAACACTTCAATTAAGATTGGCGCTTTGGTTTGGTTTTTTTTTAATATTTTACACAACTAGTGCTCCAATGTGCAGCTCTGCACAAGAGTCAAGGCTCTGACTTAAATTAGCCGTTGAAGAACTTGATTGGACTTCACCTATATTGTTGATGAACATTTTAATTAGCTCACTGGATCTCTAAAGACAGCGCAAGTTCTTTCATTACACTTGTCTCTTCTTTAAGGTTTATTTTACATCTTTTTATAATTCTAAATAAGTTGCATTGCCAAGTTGGGGTGTCTGCATTGCTATGCTGTGCACACGAGCGTGTATGTATGACATAATGATGGGGGGCAGATGACATTTCAGCCATGTTAGTATTTGTATAAGTGGCCAGGAAGGGGTATTTCAGGTGTCAGTTTGACTCAGAGCAAATACTCACTCTCCAGAAGATGTGTTTCTACAATAAACATTACAATACCAAATGTATTTGTGCTCCTCTTCTTGGCTGTGATCCTTCTGGGTTTGGTTTTTATTTTTTTTTGAACAAAGATACTCAGGAGATAGTTTAGCAGAGCTGGCAGTGAACTTGATGTACAGTATATTTAGCTTTACAAACTTAACGTTAAGCTCTGTTCAGACATGAAGGTTGTAGCTGAGATGCCAGCTGCTGTGTATTTTGTTAAATTACTGAATTGCAAAGGTTAAAGATTGCAAGTGAGGTAGAGGGGACAGAAGATCAGAGTTCCTGTTCTGCAGAAGCTGGCTGGTTTAGCATTGGAGCTCAGTTAACTTCTTGCCTACTTCCATGCTTTAAATAAAATAAAAAAGTCAAGTCAGCCTGCACTGTCAGCATGCTGCTGATCGACACCACGAGCTTTTTGGAAATCTCGGTTGGTTCAGTGGTTTTGGAGCTAGTGGTAAGCAGGTCTACAGACGAAGTCTAGCTCCCCGTAGGTTTGGCAGGTTATGATGAAGACTTGCCTCTTGCTCAAGAACAGGAACACTTCGATGAAGAATAGTCACAGTGATACCTAAGACTTAATTTTCTTGAAGTTCATAGTTGTTTTTCGAAACTGTTCTTTGTGTAGGCACTTACATGTTTTGCATGAGACAGTTTAACTTGGCCCGAAGCAATTTTTTAAAACTACATGGTTATAAATTTCTCAGATGATGATGAATGGGTTCTGTATAACGAGCTTTATCTGTTGCATGTGAATAAATTGCATGAGTAAGAAAAATAGCAATAAAAGGATTGTTGAACCTAGTAAAGCTGGAGTTTAATAGCTGGAGCTTTTTTCCTTAAGGAAAGCAAAGATTGAGACTTAGTGCCATCCAACCGTAAAAGAATTTTTGCGCTTTTAGCAACCTGAAGGTATTGAAGTAAGGCAACAAGCTGTATTTCTCTGTCTTATAAATGACCTTATGAATGATACGCGAGACCTTATCTAAACTTAGATTGAAAGTTAATGAAATAATGTAAATGTAAGGGCAAAAGAAATTAAGTTTTCTTCTTTTTTTTTAAAGTACAAAATTATTACATTTTTTAATTAAGGGAAACAAAATAAGTTAGGTGGAATATATTTTGTTTGTCTCTTTTGTTTTCAAGGTTTGGCTTGAGCAACAAGTTTGATACAGAATTTCCTTCTGTTCTGACAGGGAAGGTAAGTGTGAGATTAAACTGTTCTTTTAAATGGAAAGATCCAGTGCGTCCAGTGGTTTCTGTGTTACAGATACGTGCTTGGGAATCCGCAGTGCAGGCCAGCACTGCGCTGGGGACTGTTGAATTAACTCTGTCCTGTATGGAACTAGCTGGGTGATGACCAGTCCCTGTGGTAGTGATTGCTATCGTTACTGACATTCGAAACGCAGAAAAGCTCAACGTGACATCATACTGTTTTCATGCAGGCCATCGACATGAAAGCAAGACTCACTTAACCTCGCTTTATAGATATCTGGAGTTTGTGCTACCTCCTGTGTGAATTCAATTATTTCAAACACTAGACCTCTCTTTTTAATATGTCCTTCAAGCCTTGAGTTTATATGTAGAGGTCTCTGGAAGAGAACCTGTTTTATCTGAAGCTTTAAGGAACAGAACATTACAGTGCCAAATCTACAAATTAAGTAGGTTTTTAGTACATTTGTGGAAATACAATAATTGTTTAGTTCTGAAAATTAGTGGTGACAGGTCTCTTGTTTTCTCTGGAGTCCTGCCATCTTACTAAATGCAAGTTTAATAAATATTCATTTGTAGCTATTAATTAACAAAATCTTGTAAAAAAAAAAAAATAAATTCTTGGTTATGGTCCTAAATTATTTTCTTTTTTTTTTTTACTTTCAAATTTTGAATTCTTTTTCTCTTGGATTTTTTATTTCTGCTGTTTCACTCTCTAGTGCTTTTCTTTCGCTTCATTTTATATCCCCTTTGTGTATCTTTTCCAGAATTTGTGAGGAAAAAGTTTATTTGGCTCTTTCTTACTTTCTCTAATGTCATACCATACAGCTATGCTATCTCTGCAGCCTCTTGCCGTAGCTGTTGAGTCATGTTAACAATACATTAACGTGCAGCTGGATGGCATCTCCTGGTTCTGCCAAATCCATCTGGTGTTTTTCTCCTTCGTTTTCACCCCAGAGTATAATGAATAAAATACTTGGGTTGAATTTTCCAGGGTTTTTTGACAGCAGTACAATTGAAAAGCAGGTTGCTATTTGGAGTTTTTGGTTGTTAAAAGACAGCCTGGGAACTCTGGCCTTGCTCCAGAATCTCACTGAGCTCAACAGGAAGAGTCTGACTGATTCCATAGTCTCTGATGGGAGGGCTGGTGATAACACCGTTTGCATTTCACTACCTAGCATGTCTAAGGTTTATTCTTTTCTGTGAAGCTCTTTCTGATCACTGAAAAGCCCCAGAATACCTTTTGGAAATAACAATTTTTATGTTCTTTTAGTCAAGTTGGAGTTTGTTATAAATAAGCCTACAGAAAACACCTAGTAGGAAATGTTAGACCTTAATTTGATTATATAATTAATTCTCTTTCTGTCTCTAAAATAATTTGTGCGTATTAAGAAAACAAAGCAAACCCAACCCCCCCAAACCTACGCTTATTAATACGAGCATCAATGCCTGTCGCATTTTCCACTTGGTTGTCCTCCTCTTGTTAAATAGACAGTGAACCAAAGTTTAGTTTAAAGTTCAGTTGACCGCTTGGACTTCATTGAGCAAAGAGAGGAGAGAAGAAGTTCTTTTCTTCTACTTGGCATTTACCCTTCTTGTTCTACAGCTGTGATCAGTGACAGCGTAAATCACATGAGCAGGGATTTGCTGTATATAGGTATGCTGCTTCTGTTGCGAATCTTGGTATCCTGTTATCTCTTTCTCATATGTGGATTTGAGGGGCTTTCTGAGTAACAAGACCTTGAAAATAAATGAGTTCCCTTTTGGGAGGGGAAAACACCAATCAAATGAGGTAGTAAACACATTTTTCTTACTGCCTGCCACATGCCGCAGTGGAAGACAATAAAAGCCACAGTTGTGGGTTTTTTGGTTTTTAATACTTTCATGAACTGCAAGGAATAAATTATCTGCTTCTTCCACTGATTGTGGCAGTCAATCACCTTAATCCCTATTGAAAATGAAAACTCAGTCAGTTTTTTCTAGTAAGTGGGTTTTCTCCAAATAGCCTGATAAATAATTCACAGTAATGAGCATCGTAGTCAATTGATACACCTTAAGATCTTTTACTGTTCTTAAAATGCAAGTTTTTACTTTTTATGAAATCACAATTTATGAATGGCATAGTGACTGTTTGTATTAACAGCTTGTGACCAAAATGTTTACTATGAACTTGCATTACTACACAGCTAGTGAAAGGCGATGTCATACTTTATTCAGAATGGCTGTGCAATGTTAAGTTTAATGGTTTTGTTGTCCACTGTGAATTGATATTAATAATATATCCCATCTGCTAATGGAGTGTAGAAGACGAAGCCATTAGGTGGGGTTGATAGATTTCTCTGTGGTATTGTTTTTAATAAATATAGATGAGGATCTAGGCTTTTAAAAACAGCATGAAAGTCTGTCCAATGCATGATAAAAATCCTAAATAGGTAAAACTATCTAGCTACACCTTTTTCCCAGAATCACTAACGTTTTGGATTTATGCCACTTGGGTAGTCTTAGGAATTTACTTAAGCTTCCTGACCCTCAGTTTGCCCATCTACATAATGAATCATAAACCTTCCACTCATTTTCTTTTTTTTAAAATCGGAAATATCCCTCCTTCTTCACCCATCTCCCCTACCTCCTCGTCTCCCAGTTTTTACAGAGTCTGGGTAGTTACTGTAAATTAGCCTACAGCTAAGATGCATGTAATTGCATCTGAAATATTTTATTGAGACATGTTTGTTGCTTTTTTTTTTTTTCCTTTTGGAGAGGTGAATGTGTATATTTGAGGATAAAACATAGACAGTAAAACAGTAGAGGAATGGAAAATAGCAGGTAGGTGAGATGTTGGGCCTAGCTAGTTCAGCTAGGCTGACTTAATATTTATCTTGCAGGATGAGACACAAGCTTCAGCTGGCTTATAGATACTGAGCTAGGCTTTCAAACAGTGTTCTTTTCAATGGAGTATTGTCAGGAAAGATTTGACTACACTTAATTCAGAGGCAATATTTAACTTTTAATAATGTGATTGAGCTTTGGCCTAAATTGAAATTCTGGCTAAATTTAAATTCTATGTGGTACAGTCTTACAGGATTATTAATTCTTTTAAAACAAGCATTTGAAAGCCTTTAACAAAATACTGTTCATGATATATGGCACAATAGCACGCACTGTTCCAGGTGACAAGAAAATGATGGAGGCAGTGAACCTTAAGGAAGAAAGTGGAGTTTCCTGCCCTGATCTTAAAACAGTAAGGGTCCTCTACAGAGATTACTGTGCAGTGCGGGGAAACGTAAGCCATAAAATGTGCTCTTGGTATTGTGATCCCATTGCAACACGTGATTGATAGGGTTTGTGATCATGATGATTGAAAGAGAAAGATCAGGCCTGCTGGGCTTTACTTGCTCTCTTCCTGTGTTTGTAGATTCTCTTGCATCCTGTTGTAAAATATTATGACACCCCCTCCTTTCCTTTTATGTTTGGGGTTTTTTTTCCCCCTCCCTTAGACCTAAAAGGAACTAATGTCTCTTTACAAGGTGTACTGCACAGCCAGGAGCTATGTACTTATCTCATTCTTTTCAAGACCTGGACAGAAACTTTCCAAGAGACTTTGCAAAATTCCTTAAAACTGGGCTTTCTTAGGGAGCTTGCTTTGTGCAGGAGGTGCTGTTGATTCTCTGTTTGTTTGAAATACATTAGTGCTTTCGTGTTAACCTTTCAATAGCTGTACCTGCAAGAACGGTGAGATTTAAAATTATGCCAGAAAATGAGCAAAATTCTTTGGTGACTGATTCGTTTGGATACCATTTTATTATTAAAATGAGCAATATTCTTTGACTGATTCATTTGGATACCATTTTATTATTAAAATGAGCAAAATTCTTTGGTGACTGATTCATTTGGATACCATTTTATTATTAAATTAGAAGAGTTATTTTATTTACAGATATTTCATTCTTTGTCACTGTCTAACAAGGCTTAACTCTTGCTGAGCTGTAAACTGAGAGCAACAAAACTGTGCTTTGCCTCTCTTTGTCACAGAATGAGGCTTATCTTGGTCAGTGGTTCCTTTAGCTTCAGACGAAGATGTCGTTGACAGAAATATTTATTGTGATTATATTTCTCCCTTTAGGAAATGTATCCAATAGTTTGGGTGAGCCAAAACCATCTTAAGTAATTTCATCTTACGTTGCAGCTAAGAGGTTCACCTTTACAGGAAAGTATTTGGTGCCTTAGCAGGTAGTAGCGGTGCTTTCATAATATTACATTAAGGTAAACATCATACCAAAACATCTGACATTTTCTCTGTTCCATGGCGGCATCCAAAGGTGGTTTCTAGTTCAGCCGTTTGCAGTGCTGTGCTCTCCAGGTAGGAGAGTACTTGGCGTTGTTCTTGTAAAGCAGCATCCAACTGTTCACCTGATGTGAACGGTGATTCCCTTCAAAGTAGCACAGAAATAGGGAATCTGGCCATCCCAATGTTTCTCACTAGGTCCCAAATTTTTCTGCTGGCTGTGATCTAAGAATCTGGTTGACTTCTTTTCACATTGGATGTTATCACTGATGATAAAGTTTCTTCATGTTAAACTAAATTCTAGACTGTGTGATTCTGATGTCTTTGGTAGGTTTGTGCAGCTGTGTTTTGGGGCTGGGGTGTGTTGTTGTCAAGGTCAGTAAATTTTGTGCCTAATAGAAAAGGAAACGTTCCGTTAGTGGGATTCATTGCAGAAGCACTAAGAGGATCAAGAAAAAAGCCTACTTATCATTCTATCTGTTTATTTGAAAGATAAAAACATATGTGCAAATTTCAAAAGGCTTACCAAAGACAGTGCCATTTGTATATATCTAAATGTTAGGAACATGTAAACTTCCTTAAGAGCTGAGAATGCCAATTTGTTCCTGTAGGTAATCTCAGTTTACTTTGAAGCACGTCTGGCTGCAGCAGCTGTACAGCGTTCCTCGTGCTGCATACAACCAACCTGATTGTACTCTACTACAAAACTTGGAGACGAAATGGTCTTACTCCATGCAGCTGATCCTAAACCCAGGAGCCAGCATTGCCAAAGAGATCTATAAAACCTTCTGTTTCAGATATGTGCAAGCACAGGCTGGTTTTCCGCATCACAATGTGATTTTTGTTCTGTTGATTGAAAATGTCCCAGTACATGGAATTTCTGGGGGGTTTTGCCATTTTCTTTCTTTCTTTTTTTTTTAAACGGAAGTGTCTGTTGTAAAATACATTTAAATGTTGATGTTCCAGTCAGTCTAAAGAATTTTTTTTTTTTTTTTTACTGGCTCCATTTGTATATGTGAAAAGAATTATAAGCAAGTCTATTTAATATGGGGAGGAGCCTGTATAATTGCAAAAGAAATACTTTTTGTGTACTTATTAATTCCTGCTATAAAATAATCACAATGTTAAATTACGTTCTTATATTGCTATAACTGTAGGCCTGGCTTGTGTACAAACGCAGATGACCTCTGACTCTGTACTGCATGGTGATCTGAATGGCCAGGAAACAGATGGTGCATTTATTTACTCCCTTTCCTGCAATGTTTTAATGAATTTAGCTCCTGTGAATAGGCAGAGGTAGCAGAATCGGGTCCTCTCCGTTTCCTGTCCCATAGTTTTACTCCTTTGGTGAAAGGAGTCTTTGTCGTTAAATGAATGCTTTTGTTGTGGTTGTTGCCCTTGTTTGCAGAATCAAACGAAGAGGAGAGTTGGGCTTGCTCGGTTGGAAGGGTTGGGTACAGCTTTGTGTACAGACCAATTCTAGCTTTTTTCTTCAATGTGGAAAGCAGTTAGGAAAGTTTGGTGGATTTGGGGGGGGGGGGGGGGGGTTTTTGGTTTTTTTTTTTTTTTTTTTTGAATTGTTGTGCCTGACTGGGCAAGTCTATTGAAGTTGGATCTGATCATTCTGCTTTGTGTGTTTGAATGCTGGGTTGCGTTACAGTTGAGCTTGGAGTCAATACCACAAATCCATATTTGACTTGTCAGATATAAGTTATTTAGATTCTGTAGAGAGATGAGGGATTTGGGGTATGTAAATAGGTAAGTGCTCTCACTCTTTTGTAGGAAATACACTGTTATCAGAGAAAGGAGCTTATTTCTGATAGAAAATGTGGTTTTCCACTGTGACACTGCAGTGGCAATATATGGAAAACAGTATTTTGAGAAAGCTCTGCTGAATGTTCCTTAATTTAAATTAAAGTTGGTTTTCAACAGCTAGGCTTTATCCATAAGCCTGTACAAGATGCATTTCTTTGCCTTCAGTATAGTCCAGTACCTGTCTTTCTGGGCTTCCCTGTTTTGGGAAGCAGCTGCAAGTGAAGTTGTGGCCTCACGTCGATATGGACCACTTCAGGAATTCGTTTGTGGGCAGAGGTCCACCTTCACCCAGGCACAGTGTAGATTTGCATTGGTATGAAATCAATTTGGACGATATTATCCTTTCTGCTATGTGACACGCAAGTGGTTTTACTACAAAGCTATACCTCATTCCCTTGGAAACCGGCTCTCTGTCATTCCTGAATTTCTTTTGGTCAGCGTAGCCAGTGCATATGTTTCACAGCTGTGTCCCCCTTCTAGTTTTGTTTGGGGCCAATATGTTATCAGGACAATTGATTTATTAATGGTGCAGTAAATAAGGATGAGGCCGTTCAGCTAAGCAATGTTTAGCTTTTTAATGCAAGTTTTTGCAAAGCATGCACCATAAATGGATTCGTTACAGGAAAGTGACTTTTCATGCTCACTGGGTGACCAGTGTTTTAGAAGATGGGGTCGTACTGTGTAATGGTATTATGTCTCATTTACATTTTAACCTCTAGAGGCAATTACTGAGACCGATACACCTGTAATGGCTTTCCATTGAAGTCCAGCACTTCTATTGCAGGTTGCCCCAGAAGAATTCAAGACCAGCATCAGTCGTGTGAATACCTGTTTAAGAAAGAATCTCCCTGTCAATGTAAAATGGCTGCTCTGTGGCTGGCTGTGCTGCTGCTGCACACTGGGCTGTAGCCTGTGGCCTGTAGTCTGTCTTAACAAAAGAGTAAGTACATGTTCCCTTATTCTATTTATTTTGCAATTTCTGATAACATTCAATAATGCTTAATATATCATCCCCATGTCAAAACCCTTCTTTTGTCTCACTTGCATTCAAAAGATCATTCTGTTTTCCATTCCTTAGAAAATAGAAAAGATATGTTTTAGTGAAGTAAGCGATACCAAATTAGCAATTGAATTAGCTAGTCTTAGGACTAGCTAATCCCATCTCAGTTCAAAGAACAGGATGGAGTATATGATAACCTAAATTTCCAGCATTTCTAAAGGTCTAAGAATTGAATTAAATGAGTGCAGAACTGGACATTGACCTTCAAAGACTGCCTGAACTGGAGTGAAAATTACTTTTTGCTCTTCACACCTCCCACCCCAGAATAAATATTTTTTTCTAATTAAAAATCACTTTTTTGTATGCAGTAGTTAACATCGCTGAGCTGTGGTTTATTTGACATATTGTACTGCGCTGTTTCTATTAAGGACAAACACAAGTTTGTTTTCTGTTGGGGAAATTTAAAGACTTCCTAGTTACTTACTTATTTTCAGCAGAAAGTTGACAGTTCTTGTAATCGGGTCCAAAGTAATAATTGTGAAAAGCACTTTAGCAATAGCAAGTAAACGTGATCCTAATTAACTCTACGGTTTACACTTAAAATTGATTTATCACAGCAGTAAATATTTAGGAAATATATAAACAGGTATAGTGCAATGATATTCTTTGCAGCTACATAGTTTGTAAGACTTGTAGCCATAAAATCTTATTATCCACATATGTAAATAGTACATAGGTGCACTAGGGGAAAAAAAAAAATGCATTAAAGGCATAGTATATTGACTTGTTGAACTGCTAATTGCTGAAGCCTCTATCAGCAAAAAGTTACAGGATGTGTTTTAGTTCATTTTAACTGCCTTTATGAATATGCTTGAGATACACAGACAGAATATTTGCAGGTTCAAAACCATATTTAATATTCTTGTGCTCATGAAAATCTAAATAAATGCCCGTGTGATGCTGTAGAGTTAACGTAATTCTTGAGGGTACAAATAGTATGTACCAAGTAGGAATAGGGAGGATCATGTTACTTCTGTGGGTATGTGTGTGCGTATACATTAGAGCGATTTGATCACTCTAACAATCGCGAGTATAAGATGGTTCTTGATTTTTTTTCTCTTGTGGTGGGTAAACTAAGCACCCACCAGCCACATGCAGGATGGGGGAGAGAATCAGAAGAGCAAAAGTAAGGAAAACTCCTGTGTCCAGTTTAATAAGCGAAGGAGAAAAAGGGAAGAAAACCCAAGTGATGCAAAGGCAAATTGCTCACCACCTTTCCCCAGCAGACCAGTGCCTGTCTCTGGGCAGTGGGCTACATCGGAAAGAAGAGCGCCCCATTTTATTGCCGAGCGTGACATTACAGGGCCTGCAATGTCCCTTTGGTCAGTGCTGTTCAGCAATAGCTAAAACTGATGCGGTATCAACGCTGGTTTAGTCATAGATTAAACCACAGCACCATACAAGCTGCTGTGAAGAAAATGAACTCCAGCCCAGGCAGTCCCTGCACACTCACCCAGCAACAGAAGGCATGATGAGATCCAAAGGCTGGAATATGAAGCTAAGACAGTTGAAATGGGAAACGTGCTTTGTAACTCCAAGGAGAGCCCAGTCACTGAAAAATATTACAAAGAAGCGGTGGATTCTCCACCATTAAGCCTTTGACTCAGGATTGGATAGCTTGGTATCTTTTTTTAATGAGATGGTGTGGCTCACCTACTATTTTTAGCTTTAGCAAAGAAATTAGTGGATGGAATTCTGTGGCATACCATGCAGGGAGTAGATCATCACAGTGGTCTTTCTGTGACCTTAAAAATCACTGAATCTCCAAAAATCTCCTCTCCCACAGTTGTGGAAAGAGCAGAACATGAAGGTCATACACACTTTGGTATCCAGGAGTTGAGAATACAGGCACTCTTAGTGGTGAGGTGGAGTTCTGTGGCGTTGAGGTTTTTTCAGGATTCAGATAATCGCTACGTTAACGAAGTCTGGAAATCACACGTATATAAATTCCCTGTTGTCAGTAGACCACCTGTAGTGGGCACAGTATTTGGCCAAGAGAATGTGGGAGATTCTGTTTTGTTGGCTTGGCTATGGTAGGCAAACCCACTAAATTCTAAAGGATCTCTTACTAAGTAAAGGAATTCTGGGAAAGCTGCAGTCCTGAGTTAACTAAAGACCGGTGGGTGTTTTCTTTTTTTTTTTTTTTTCTGAAGAGAAGTGGGGAGTTGAAATGTAGGACTTCCATTTATAATTTTTCTTTTGCTTGGTTCTACTCTTATCAAACTAACTTATTTAAAATTAACCTTAAGCCAGAAATGCAATAGTAAGATTCTTCTGGATGAGGCTGGCTG